CTGATAAACAGTCATGATGAGAGGAATGTGTTTTAAATTTTTTAAAAGACCATCCAGAAACAATTAACAAAATCATGTACGCTTGTGCTTAATTTCCGCCTCTGAATTATTTTCATTAGAAGTCAAATAAGAACAAATTTGTTGTTCTGGGGCATGTACAGCTAACTCTGTGTCAAGGCACTCTCATGCTAAGCTCTAGCCTGAACAGTGAGAAATACCTGTAAAGTAACTGGGGGACAACTGCCACGCTCAAGTAAGAGAATATGCCGAGAATGAGCCCAACTCAGAATTACACAGGTACTAGCACACTTCTCTTTCCCTACCCTATTTCCACAGGGTATAGAAACTAATGATTTGACTTTCACAGAATGATGGTTACTCTTTAAACTTAATTTATGATAAACATAAATCATATTAAGAATCAAGTAGTTAATTTCCAGTTCAAGAACTGTCACCACTGATGTAACTTTCTTTAAAGAAGTATGATTCTGGTTTGCTCTTGGTAAATTTATCAGTTGACTGAAGATGGAATTTGACATAGGGTAGAAGCTGATTTCAGGGAACACTAAAAATTCATAAAGGCCAAATATAAGTAAAAATGAGAGACAGAGACACACATTGTTAACCATATCTCTTAAGAAGGATAGGGATGTGGGATGTTGGGGGAAGGGAAATCTGAAAAGGGACTTTTCATTTTTTCATTAAAGGCACCAGCCAAACAGAAGTTTTAATTTTTGGCCGCACGAAGTCCTATGTTATGTAACTACTTGGGAGTTCTAGAAAGACTTTAGTTTATCTGTACTCTTTCTCTATCAGCTATTCCTCCCCTTTTTTCTACTTCCCTCAAATAAAAACCTATTCTAAATAAACAACCTGCTAAATTCTTAAATTTTATATGTTAATCAGTCAACAGTAGGCCAAAAGTAATGTACTTCAAATGAATTATAAGCAGATGTCTTTCTAATATCCTGATTCACATGTTTAAGGGAGACCCTGATTCTGTTTATTCACTGGCTTGCACTTAAATTCTGATTCTCATGAAATCCATCTAATTGACAAGATTCCTTTTGGGAAGGTTTCATAGAGTCAGAAGTTATTCTGAAAGGCAAACACTCCAAACATGTGGGAGAAGATAAAAAGAAAGTCTGCATATACTGACATAACAGTTCCTAGACATGATGGTAAGAGAAAAAGCAAGTTACAAAACATATGCATAGTAAGACAGCATTTATGTAAAAATTTTAAACCCATAAAACTATGCATTTCTCTAGGTAAATATATTTATATAAATGCACAGCAAAAAGGTAATTGAAGAGTATATACAACAGAGCAATTATTTTCCATCTGGGAGGGGAGTACTTTTTATTCTTTTTCCTAGAGTATATTCTCAGATAATTAAATACAAAGTGAAGAACTTTTATATTTTTAGAAGTACCACATATGATGATCTCCTTAAAATAGTTTGCTACCGAAGATACAGTTTAGCAAATACCACTGTTGTCTACATTTCAGTATTACCATACGTTATCCCTGCGGTCCCTCACCTTTCCTCTCATTGCTCTACACAAGCTCAAATTTAAGGAAGTCAATTTTAGCTTTTTCTTGAGAATTTGAGAACTGATACAGTGAGAATAAAGGTAGGCAGTTTCATCTTTTGGCTTTAATGTGATACATTTGGAAGTATGAGCAGGCCTCTGAAGAGGACAAGATGCTTTAAGAGTAAGTTTCTTACTGGGAGTGCCATGTAACATCAACTTGCTGTGTTCATTTATCTACTGCAGAGAAAAAGTTGTGGTAGCAAAGTTAACATATAAAAGCACACTCAACTTCTCAGAAAAGAGATGATATATAAATCCCAAAGAGCACAAGCAGTGCTAAAAGTCTATCAAATTAAAGTGGTATTTGTTTAGAAGCAAAAGCATTGTTGCTTGAAATTGGAAACTCTTATTAAGAGTATTTCTAGATTTTTTTTATTATGTATGATTAATGCTAAAATACTTTCATTTAGGAAATTTGCCCAGAATTCTAATTTTTTCCTTTGAAAAGGGAAACGCCATCAAAGCCAAACATATGTGTAACATGAATTTTGGTCCACAAACACCAAATATATTATTGTTTTTGTTAACTGAAAATTACAGAACAGCAACATACTAGAATCAATACCTATCGTGAAGTCAAGTAAATATATATATTCAGCTTTTAGTTATTAAAATCTAGGTAATACATTTTGTAATTTAGAAAAAAGATCTACTTAGTCTCTGTATCTCCAGACATTATTGTAAGGCTCCTAATGATTGCAACCATCCATACACTTTTCTAGAAGAGCTCAACATCTTCAATCATCTGAGTATGCATTCCCTCTTTGCCAAACTGCATCTATAAAGAAGGCTACAATGGCAAACAGAAGTCAAAAAAAGGTGAATTTCAAAAGTTAAAGGCACAGATCAAACCACTTCTGGAGATAATATAAGTGGTAATTTATAAGGGTAAATTCTATTATCTGGAGATAACATCAATGACCTAGACTCCTTGTAGCCTTTATAATATAGAAAATTGCAAATTATATTAAAAGACATAGTATCACAATTCATTTTTTATATGTTCTAAATATTTGGCACAATGCGTAACTTGTCTTTAGAAATGACTAAATAATGACTTGATAATGTATTTTCAAAATGATTACAAAAATGTCAGGTTGTAGAGTTTCATATCCATCTGCCTTCCATTCTCACTACCCTTCTTTCATATTTCCCAAATTCTATTTTTTCTTACTGAAAACGTGGATCACTCTTCTTTTTTACTTTAATGCCAAGTAAAAAGTAATCACTAATAATATATGGCTACTATTAAAAAAAAAACACAAAAAAACCAAAACATCAATTTAGCTGTAACAGTCATAGCTTTAGGGTATTTTTAGGAGATATTCCCAGAACAAAACAAATTCGAACACTCATATTTCATACAATAACGTGATGCTTTTTTTCAGATTGCTGTTTACCCCAAAACTGTTGCAATATACATTTTTAAAAACAGTATTTTCCTCAATAGTCACAAAGCAAAACAAGAGGCTGAATACCCACCATCATTACAGAAACAATGATTGTATACTTTTAACATAATATTCAGGTATTTTTTAATGACTATCTTATACCAATTTTTAATTACATATACTAAATGTATACACTTACTAAATGAAAAATATATTGGTTCTACCTACCTACCTACTACTTTTAATACACAATACAGTAACTTGTGTCTTTTGCCTAATAGCACAATTTATAAGGACAGGAACACAAAAGATATGTTAGAGGTGAAGAAAGTTATCAGAGAAATTTTCTCAGCCTTAGTTTACCATCCCTTTACCTCTCCTTTATGCACATACTGCAATTTGCTGGTCCTCTGTTATTCCTCTTTCATCCTATTCCTACCTAAAGACCTCTCAGGCCTCAAGGCAAGGACAAGTATTCTGTATTATTTATCATTGCTAATGAATTAGCTTAAATTACAGGTCAAAAAAAGAAGAAACGCTTGAGGTTAAGAAAGATACACAGAAACCAAGGGAGAGTAAAGGAAAAAAATATGGAGAGTGGTTTTACCCCATCAATCGTTATCTGGCAACTCTGGAGCAGAGATTCCTATCTGGACTTAGTATCATTAATATAGGGTCAAAAATCAAGAGTACAACTCTCCAGTTATCAGGCTTTATGACTCTACTTTTTTGGAATAAAACTCAATTTTATCTCTAAAACATTCCACTCCAAAGGAGAAGAGCTTATTTCACATCTGCATGTATACTAGAAGAAATGGCAAGGCTTGATTTACTTTCTGTGGAAGAACCAGGGGACAAAACCAATTTTTCCTGTATTTGTACTCATGATTCCCCTTGTCTCCTCTGCTGCCCTACATAAAGACAAACTTCCCAGGACACTGAGAGATTATACAGAGTACAATCATCTGATTTAAAAAAAAAAAAAAAACAATTTTATAGCTTATATCCCTCACTCTCTCCACTCCACCCTCTCCAAACACAAACAACAAAGATCAGTGTGTTGAGTTTAGCAAAGAGAGTAACTAAAGAAGGTAAAGTGAGGGCTCAAACACTTAATATTTTAAGTTAAAATTCTAACATCATAACATCAAGGTGTCAATTCAACTTTAAACCCATTTGGGAAAATTTAAGCTATTAACTTAAAAATATGATAGTACTTCTTTAGTAACTTTAACCTCTTTATATTCTCTTAATTGCTCATGCTAACAACTTTATTGCATACTACTGCTTCTTATAAGAAGTAAATCCAGGGACCATTCCATTTAATCTTAGACATAACATTTACTAGTTTTCCAAGCATGACAGAAATGGAAAAATATATATATATTAGAACAAGAACAATGTATGTTAATCTCCACAATTTGTGATCCTTCTGTGAGCAGTGTCTGATTCTATTAAAATTAACAAATTTAAGTTCAGTCCTATGCTTAAGAAAAAAAAAAACCCTAATGAGACTAATTTACAAAGTATACAAGAATATAATTTTATAATAAATCTTTCCAGTGTCTGCTATAACCACATTACATGAAATGTTTCCCTTCACAGAAACTCAGAAGGACAACTCTTATAAAATGGAACAAACTTTTCTGTGTTCATCTCTGGCAAGCAATGAATAAATACAATTTGCTCACAAAGGGTTTAAAAGTGCTGCCCCAGGAGAATAAACTACCCACTGACATGCTGTATGAATGAGTCTTGGCCAGTGGCAACTCTCTGGGACCTCTTCCTTTCTTCTCACACCAGTGAAACCATCTCACATAAAGTCTAAGAGAAAACTAAAGCCATTGCAGAAGTGAAACTCAGCATGCTCCACTCAAATACTTCTAAGGTAACCACTCTAAAGCAAAATCAGCAGAATTCATCTCTTTTATCCAAAAAAGTTCCCCCCCAAACAACAATAACAACAACAACAACAAAAACAAAAACAAAAACAAAAAAAATCCAACAAACCAAAGGCAAATGCTGTTGTTCAATCATCAGAAAGACTTACAGAGGCAAAAAAATATGACAACAGCAGTAATTCAAGTAAAGTATATGTGAAAATTAAAACACGCCACTTTCAAGTTAAGACAAAAAGTGAAGGGGAGCTATGATCTTTATAACAGAGTCAAAAAGCTTAGGCATTATCACCAAATGTTAATTCACTTTACAATCATCAATGAGACTATTGTATATATTTTTGCACCTTGCGCTTGTAAAAGCAGATAAAATATTTAATATGTAACTTTACAATGTATTTTACCAGCTCAGCATACAGGTTGTATATAGATTATATCAAAGTAGTAGACAGTTAAGGGGCCTGTGCAAACCCTGCAAAAATAGTACTTCAGGTATCTGCTACTTAAAAAAAAAGAAAACAAAAACACTTTGCTGTTCAGAAGTGATACAATTCAAACTACCACAAAATACAAAGGGCTGCAAAAATGTATACCATTCCAACAACATATATAAGTTATTAAATAAAGATCTGATTTAAAAGAATATAAATGAAGCCTTTAAGTAGGTCTTTTCTACATGCATATTATTCCTTATTAAAGAAAAAAGTATGTAAAAAGGCCATTGGTAATTGCTTTGTTAACATTTGTAGAAAAATGCCAATTCTCTGGTCACAAACTCCACTAAGTTTATTTAGCACTTAAGGTCTCTGCAGTGTTATAAATGTAATTTAAAATACTGTTAATTCTATAATTCCATTGGTAAAATAATGTGACTTGGAATATGGCAGTCTTCATGTTGAGGGCAATGATCCACAGTTTGTTTAATTTCTTAAGTGTGAACAGTTATCCAGAAGAACAGCACCCTCCACCACCGCTCTGGGCTTGAGGTTCATCATCAATAATCTGTACACCTCGCCTTGCAGATCCTGGTTGACTAGAGCCATTGCCTTTTGCTCTCTCATCCACTTGTGCTGTTTCTATCATCCCTGAGAGAGGGAGGAAACAGAAATTATTTAGGACCACAACCTATGAGTTTCCTCTTTCTGTAATTTCAGTATACCACCATGACAGCCATTTCTGACTTTCAACCAACAAGGAAGCTAAATATAATAAACATTTTGTCAGCTCACTAAACAGCCTTTCCTGAAAGTTATAAATAGTTAATAGCAACTATATTTGTCCAGTTGCATAATGGCCACAGTGATATCAACAGAGAGAAAAGTTTCTGCTTTGAACAAATGACTGTATACAAGTATAATCCTTAAGATTTTCCAAATATACTTAGCAATCTGTCAAAGAAGTTCAAATTATTCTATGTACAACTAGTAGTTAGGGGAAAAGATTTATTCTTCAACTAATAATGTAATACTTTTATATAGTATTTGAAAGAATGAAAGAGTTTAAGATGAGGGAGGAAGAACAAGCTGTAGGACCCATGCTATGTGACTTAAAGATACAGCAGAAAGTTACTCCAATAGAGAGTGAGATATTGGGGAAAGGAGAGCTCGAAAGATCAATGAAACTAGTAATACACTACATGTTAATTAACCAAACTTAAATAAAAAATAAATAAATACAGATCAATGGAACAGAGTCCAGAAATAGACCCCCATTTATATGGTCACTTGATTTTTTTTTTAAATTTTTTAAATTTTTATTTATTTATTTATTTTTTAAAGATTTTATTTTTATTTATTTGAGAGCGAGACAGTGAGAGAGCGCGTCAGCGAGGAGAAGGTCAGAGGGAGAAGCAGACTCCCCATGGAGCTGGGAGCCCAATGTGGGACTCGATCCCGGGACCCCGGGATCATGACCTGAGCCGAAGGCAGTCGTCCAACCAACTAAGCCACCCAGGCGTCCCTGGTCACTTGATTTTTGATGTATATGTCAAGATTATTCAATGAAGAAAGATTAATCTTTTTAAGAAACAATATTAGAACTGGATATTTACATGTAAAAAATGAACCCTGATTTATTTTTATCTCTCACTATATATAAAAATTTAAAAATGAATTATAGACCCAACCAGAAATTTCTAGAAGAAAACATAGGAGGAAATCTCTGTAGGAAAAAAATCTTTGTGACTGTGAATTAGGCAAAGATTTCTCATATAAAACACACAAAAAATGAATCATAAAAAATTGACAAATAAGACCTTATTAAATAAATTTAGAACTTCTGAAGACACAGTTAAAAAATGAAAAAAGAAGACAAAGATTGGGAGTAAATATTCACAAAATACATATCTGAAAAGATGAAGAAAGAAAAGAGGGAGTCCTTAGAACAATAATTCTTAAACTTGGGTCCAGAGACTGCCCTTGAACAACGGTTTCCAAATTTAGGTGTACAGGAAAATCCAGTAAGATGAAATAAGAAACAACCACAATGTTTTATAAAAATGTACAAAATATATTAGTATTTGTATATGTTCTATATATTTTAAATAAACATGAGAAATACTCAAATTTTTTTCTATAAAACCGTGAGATTTAGGGGCATCTGGGTGGCTCAGTCAGTTAAGTGTCCCTTTCTTGATTCTGGCTCAGGTCTTGATCTCATGGTTGTAAGACTGAGCCCTGTATTGGGCTCCATGCTCAGCACAGAGTCTGCTTAGGATTCTCTCTCTCACTCTCTCTCCGCCTCTCCCCCTGCTTGTGTGTTCATGCACACTCTCAAATAATAAATTAATAAAATCTTAAGAAAAAAAAGATGTGGGGCGCCTGGGTGGCTCAGTGGGTTAGGCCTCTGCCTTCGGCTCAGGTCATGATCCCAGGGTCCTGGGATCGAGCCCCACATCGGGCTCTCTGCTCTGCAGGGAGCCTGCTTCCTCCTCTCTCTCTCTCTGCCTGCCTCTCTTCCTGCTTGTGATCTCTGTCTGTCAAATAAATAAATAAAATCTTTAAAAAAAAAAAAGAAAGAAAAAAAGATGTGAGATTTATAACATGTCTAAGCTATAGCTCTAGACCCTTGGTACTCCAAGTATGGTCGTAGGACCAGCATCATCACCACATGCGTGCCTGTTAGAAAAGAAAAGCTGAAGCCCACACCAGACCCACTCTATCAAATATACATTTTTACAAGATCTCCAAGTGATTGATAGGTATGTACAAGCAATGAAAACAGAAACAAATTCCCAAATTTCAGTGTGCATCACATAAGGAAGGATTGTTAAAACATAGATTTGGCACCACCTCCAGAAGTTTTGACTCAGTTGTTTTGGGCAGGGCACAAGAATCTGCATTTCTAATACATTCTCAAGTGATGCTGATGCTGCTGGTCAGGGGACCTCACTTAGAGAATTAAAGCTCTACAAGAATTATGAATGATCTTCAGGTTTTGGTAAAACTGAAATTTACTCCAAAGTTTATGTATATGTACATTTTCCTAGAGATAAAAACCAGTTTCATCAAATTCTCAGGAAACTATAAGATCCATAAAGTCAAGGAATATAATTTTATAAAATCATTTCAATCTATTATTCCATAGACTAGGGTTTTCCTAAGTATGGTTGGTATATATGCTATTGGTGATAAACATTTTCCTCTCTTTTAAAAAACTTTCTACTATGAAAAACTTCAAGTATATATAAACATAATGAAAATCCATTATGTCCATCACACAATTTCAGCTATACTAAGCAAGCATCCCTAGCATTATTGAGAATCAAACAGTAGACACATAATTTTATTCATAATTTTAATATGACCTTCAAAATATATGGACTCTTTTTTAAAAAATAAGACCTTTTTAAAAAAGTTTAACCACAACACCATAATCATACCTTAAAAAGTTTATGATAATTTTTAAAATAAAGAATAATGCAATTAATTTAAACTAAACAAACAAAAAACATTTCACCTATTTCTCACACCCCCAAACCCTGCCTATGGCAACTACCAACCTATTCTCTGTATCTATGAGATCGGTTTTATTTATTTATTTTTAGATTTCACGTATAAGAGGGATCATAAGTTATTTATCCTTCTCCGATTTATTTCACTTAGGATAATGCCCTCAAGGTCCATCCATGTTGTCACAAATGGCAAAATCTCATCTGTTTTTTTGGCTGTATCGTTAGTTTCATATAGCACACTTGTTTATTTTTGCTTTTGTTGCTTTTGCTTTCACTGTCAGATTTTAAAAAATCATAGCTAAGACCTATGTCAAGGGGCTTACTGCCTATATTTTCTTTTAAGTGTTCTATGGTTTTAGGACTTAGATTCATTTAAGTTCATTTAAGTTAATTTGTAACTTAATCCACTTAAGTTACTTTTTGTGTACAGTATAAGATAGTGGTCCAGGTTCATTCTTTTGCGTGTGGTTGTCCAAATTCTCCAACACCATTTATTGAAGAGACTGTACTTTCCCTGTTGTATATTCTTGGCTTTTCTGTCCTAAGTTAAATGGTCATATATGCATTGTTTTATTTCTGGGCTCTGTATTCTGTTCCATTGATCTGTGTGTCTATTTTTATGCCAATACCACAATTTTACTCTAGCTCTGTAATACAGGTTGAAATCAGGAAGTGTTGTGATGCTTCTAGCTTTGTTCTCCAACTCAAGACTGTTCTGGCTATTCAGGGTCTTTTATGGTTCTATACCAATTTTAGGATTTTGTTCTCTTTCTGTTAAAAATGCTACTAGAATTTTGATAAAGACTATGCTGAATCTGCTTTGGGTAGTACGGACTTTTTTTTTTTTTTTTTTTAAATTTGAGGGAGAGACAGGGGGGGGGGGAACACAAACGGGGGGGGGGGGGGGGGCGAAGCAGGCTTCCCGCTGAGCAGGGAGCCTGATGCGGGGGCTCGATCCCAGGACCCTGGGATCAGGACCTGAGCCAAAGGCAGATGCTTAACAACTGAGTCACCCAGGCGCCCCTTAACGTTGAAAACATCTTAAACTTGATCTCATTGTAAAACTCAACATTATTACTCCCCCACTAAAGTTTTATGGTTTTGATTTCACATTTTACATCTTTGCATCTTATGTATCCCTCAACTAATTATTGTAATTATGGTTATTTTTACTACTTTTGTCTTCTCACTTTCATAATAGCTTTATAATCAATAATATACTCCCTTTACTAAATATCTGCTTTCCAGTGAGAGTTCTCCTCTCAAGCATGTTCTAGTAACTAATTAGTGCCCCCCCCCTTTTTTTTTCCAGGGAAAAGAAGTTCCTTTAACATATCTTTAGGGAAAGTTTGGTAATGATGAACTTTAGCTTTTGCTTGTCTGGAAAATTCTTTATTTTTCCTTCCCTTCTGAATATAATTTTGCCAAGTTGAGAATTCTTGGTTGCTAGTTTTTTCTTTCAGCACTTTGAATGTATCATATACATCACGCCATTCCCTCTGGCCTGGGAAACTGCTGCTGAAAGATCTGCTGATAATCTAATGGGGGTTGGGGTCCCCTTTTATGTAACAAGTTGTTTTTCACTTGCTGCTTTTAATAATCTCTCCTTATCTTTCGCTTTTGACATTTTACTTACAATGTGTCTTTGGTATGGATCTTTTAGGTTCCTCTTATTTGGAACTCTCTGGGCTTCCTGGGCTTGGATGTCTGTTTCCTTACTCAGGTTGGTAAGTTTTTAGCCATTATGTCTTCAAATAAGATTCTGCCTCTTTCTCTCTGTCTTCTCCTTCTGGAATCCCTCGGATGCAAATGTTGGGCAGTCTGATGTCATCCTGTAAGTCACTTAAACTATCTTCAATTTTTTCATTTTTTTCTTTTTGCTTTATCCCTTTCACTCTTTTCTTCTTGCTGCTCTGATTGGGTGAGTGCCACTGCTTTGCCTTTGAGTTGAATGCTCATTTCTTCTGATTCATCTAGTCTGATATTGAATATCACCACTGTATTTTTCAGTTCATTTACTGTATGCTTCAGCTCTGTGACTTCTGCCTGGTACTTTCTTATATTTTCCATTTCCTGTTGAAGTTCTGTGTTCACCTAGTCTTCTCCCCAATTCAGTGTTCAGTGATCATCTTTATAACCGTTACCTTGAATCCTTTATCAGGTAAATTACTTATTTGTTTCATTAAGGTTTTTTTCCCCAAGGTTTTTATCTTATTCTTTCATTTGAAACATACCCCTCTGTTTCTTCATTTTGTGTGACTCTCCATGTTGCTTTCTATACAGTAAATGGAACAAGCAGCCTATCATATTTTTAATAGCTCCCAGTAGTTAAGGATGTCCTAAGACCTATCAGTGTCCCAAAGGGGAGGACCTTAGCACCTAGATGTAGGGTGACTGGAAGCCCAATCTCTAGGCATCAGCTTTCAAAAGTATGCAAATATAGGGATGCCTGGATGGTTCAGTTGGTTAAGCTTCCTACTCCTGGTTTCAGCTCAGGTCGTGATGTCAGGATCATGGGATGGAGCCCTGTGTGGGGCTCCATGCTCAGGGGCAAAGTCTGCTTAGGATTCTCTCTCCTTTCCCTCTGCCCCTCCCTCTGCTCGTGCTCTCCCTCTCAAATCTTTTTAAAAAAAGATGACAGGGCGCCTGCGTGGCTCAGTGGGTTAAGCCTCTGCCTTTGGCTCAGGTCATGATCTCAGGGCTCTGGGACTGAGCCCCACATCGGGCTCTCTGCTCAATGGGGAGCCTGCTTCCCCCTCTTTCTCTGCCTGCCTCTCTGCCTACTTGTGATCTCTCTGTCAAGTGAATAAATAAAATCTTAAAACAAAAACATAAAAACCCAAAAGTATGCAAACATATAGTCCTACAGGACTGCAATCATAAGCCCCACTGGCCACTAAAGCCAGGTGATCTGGATGTATCCCCCGGATAGCAATCACAAAAATTAGGGCTCTAGAAAAATGGATAAGCTCTTCCTAGGTGATAGGAGCAAGCTAGAACAAGGTAAAAGAAGAGCACCAAGATGGTGCTCACAGCCTACCGTCCTTGAAAGCAGCTCCATAGGTCACTAAATATGTCTCAAACTTGAAACTTGGCCCTCAGGCCACAGTCATGATGACTAGTTAACAGGCCTCCTTCACAGAATAATTGAGCTTGTGGCTCTGTTGCTTCTCGCTGTGCCCTGTGGGTGGTAGCTGTTTAAAAACTCTTTCTCTGTTGGTTACAGTCCCATGGGACCCATGACCATAAGCCCCACTGGGCATCAGAGCCAGCTAATGTAGAGGTGTCCCCTGGCAGCAGTCACAAAAACTGGGGTACCAGACAGGGGGTATGAGCTCCTCTCTGAGTAACATCAATTATAGTCCAACGGGACCAAGAATACAAGCTCCCCTGGCCTCTGGGCCAGGTGATCAAGATGTATTTCCTAGGTGTAGCTGCAACAATTGGGCCACCAGATATGTGTGAAAGCTTCCCTCTGGAAGATAATGGTGCTCTGGAGCACAACAAAGGGTGAATCCAGCAAAGAGAGAGCATGAAGATGGTTCCTGCCAGTCTCCAGCCTGGGAGAGTATTCCATCAGCAGGCTCCTGGATATTAAGTCAATAATAGTACTGGTAAATCATAAATGTGGTCATTAATTGAGACCATAAAACATCACTTAAAAAGTATTACCAAAATTTTTAAGAGAACAACTTCTAAATATACAAAATCTGAGTATACCTACTTTTACAAAGGTCAAGAAAGAGTTCCTCAATTCCTTTGTTCTGTTTAGCAGAAGTATGATAATGTTTTGCTCCTACAGATTCTGCATACCTTAAAAAAAAAGTAACATCAGTGATACAAAAAAATTTTCATGTTTTTGTCATAACTGCTTTTTGTATTTTTTCAAGTAGCAATTTTAGTGACTCATTACTAATCAATCCACATTTAGTGAAATTAAGATACACTGAACCAAATTTTAAATGAGAACATAAGGATAAGACTTGAAATTTTTAAGTTAATTTGGAACCCAAATACTTTAATAAGTTCTTGTGACTCACTATTTGACTATATAGGTTTTTTTTGGTATCACTCTTCACATTTTCTACTGAAATCAAAAAGAGAAGTGAGAATGGAGTATTTTTAGATGTTCTCAAAAGTCGACAAATTACCAACGCTTCACTGAATCCAATAGATCATTTTATATTAAGAGGTTGGAGTAATACCTAAATGGTAAAGCACACTGTGCAAAGAGAAAAACTTCTACTAGGGAATGACTAGATGGAGGGGGAAAGGAAGAACACTTACGATTCTGCTTCTTGAATGGAAACGTGTCTCTCTTTTTCCAGATCTATTTTATTACCTAGTTTCAAAAAGTAAAAGTGCCAATTCTTAATATTGATTCATTTTTATAACAAAACAACGCCAATTCTAAACACACAACTGCCATTTTAATTACCTGGAAAAAAATAATACAAATCCCCATCATGTCCTAAAACTACAAAGTTAAACCCTATGATAGGAGGGTTGATCATTACAGTCACAATATATGCCTCGACCTCCTCAAATGGCTCAATGCATATCCCTCCTGAAGCTGCAGCCTTTGTCAGAGAAAATAACTTTTCCAAAGAGATGGGCACTATTCTTTGATTTAGGATATAATGGAGACTAAAAATCACTTGGGAACCTAGGAATAAACTATGATTCTTAGCCAAATGTAAATGGTCCCCCATCAATATATAGCCAGTCAATAATTAAGCAAGGCTACCTTACTGTTCATGAAATACAATAGGCTAGACTCTTGGACTCTAAGGGTATTTTGGTTTTGTAACTGATAAGAACTGGTTAAATAAAGCATTTAGACATATGGCCTTTTAAGCACTTCACTACCACAAGGAGAGGAAACTGTACTATTTAGCAATATGAGAGAACATAATACATGCACATCATACAAATTTAAAATTACTGAAAATAAGTTTGGTTTTCTTAAACAATGGGATAAAACTGAGATAATGCTAAAAACCCACCAGAATAAAAGTGAAGAAACTGCAAAATGCAGATTCCTTATTAAATACAAGGTAGAGGTTAAGGTGAGTTGGCCGGGCACACAGGATACTAAAGGTAAAGGAAATAACAGATCGAAAAAAGAGAGAATGCCCTAAGGAAGAATATTTCAAACAAATATTTTCATTTCTATTATGATTTATGGGGAAAGGGGGGAGAAAACTTTGTAAATAAGGTCATCTTTTCTTAGGACCTTACAGAATCTAGAAGACAATTTCAGTTAAGTATTGAAGTAAGCACCCAATTAAAGATCCAATGCTTAGAACTGAGAAGTACAGCCTAGAGATTGTATATATGGAGGAGCGTAAATAATCTGAGCACCCAAATGTTGGCGGCTACAGTACCTATGTGACACCACAGCCAAAGCATGAGAAGGAAACAGACTATATACTAAAGCTCAGGGATTACCAACAAATTCAGTGATGAGTTGTTCCTGCTTTGAAGAGTTATCTGTATAACTCAGCAAGAAAGACATATCAGTTCTAACTTCCTACATTATATCTGTCAATAAAATTTTAAATTTGCTAAATACTACAGCCAATACATCTGACAGTCACCTGAAAAAAAAAAAAAAAAAGCTGTTTATACTATGAAGAATGCAAAAAGCACCACCTAGTGGCCAGTGGTTCCAACAGAGGCACAAGGGGAGACTTAACAATTAACTAGAACACTAGGAGTTGTTTTTCTCAATCTCTAATGTCTCTGCTTTCAAATTCTTCCAGAATTATGAACATCCATTTTTTTTTAATAAGGACTGAGAAAGAATTTGAGTAATGTCTTAAATGAATATTTGGGGAAAATTATTCAGACACTGCTTTCTCATCTAATAGCATTCTAAATTTACCTAACTTTAATAAATCTAGTTATCATTAAAATAGCTAAATTTTTTAGTAAGCTAATTATAATTTAAAACAAAATAATTTTACCACTATTTCTTTTGACAATCAGTGTCCATAAAGGGATTAATAATGCAGATTAAGTCATAAAAAACTGCATTTTGGAGACTGACATCTTTCCAAACTCAAAACCTTTTTAGTGCCTATATCTCTTTTAAAAGCAAGACATATAAAGGATTAAGGCTTTGAGGCTCGTCTATTTCAATGCTACTACCCAGTTATATAGGGAACTTTCTAATAGGATTGAAACACCTGAAAACAAGGATTACCACCAAGTATAGTACTATGAAGATTAGGGGCGAAAACTGGCTGAAGCTATTGGAGAGGAAAGGGAAAAGCCACTGTGTTGCAAATAGTAAAAACTTTATCTTCTTTATAAATACACATTTGAATTAAAAATATGAAAGGGATATACCCATTGCTAAGGACAGATGGCCTAATGGCAATAAAGGGCTAGAACCCTATTTTGGTTAGACTGTATGGTTGGTGTATGGGCTAGTCAAAAGAAGCTTTCAAAGGCTTTCAATCTGATAACGTTTGTTTTTATGGCCTGGATCACTTCATAACTATATAACCTGGGGGGAAATTACTAACCTCTCAGTATCACTCTACACAAATGTAGCTAACAAACTTAGCATGGTTCATATGAAAATATGATAATGTAAAAGACCTAGCATATAGTACATGCTCAATAAAGAGCAGTTATTAATATCAGCTGTATTCATCACAGTGAATGATCAAATGGAAAATCAGTATTATTATGAGAAAATTAAAGCTCACACATTTTACTACCACCTTGCTACTTCATCTAGCTAATTTGGTTAATCCAACACTCTAGGAAGTCCTCCTTTAACTTCCCTTCCCCCTAAATTTAGTTAGGTTTGTTTTAGTGCTATCAGAACATTCTGTACTTCCCCCTTCACAGCATTTACTGTAATATATAATAGCCTGTTCTTCTCCCTCTCTCTACTCAATAAGCTCTGGGAAGACAAGGACTATATCTATTTTGTTCACTTATTCTTTTACTACACTATTCCCAAAACTGGTATAGAGTAAGCATCTATAGTGCTGGTTAAGAATATGGGCTTAAGGGGTGCCTGGGTGGCTCAGTGGGTTAAAGCTTCTGCCTTCGGCTCAGGTCATGATCCCAGGGTCCTGGGATCGAGCCCCACATCAGGCTCTCTGCTCAGCGGAGATCTTACTTCCTCCTCTCTCTCTCTGCCTGCCTCTCTGCCTACTTGTGATCTCTGTCTGTCAAATAAATAAATAAAATCTTAAAAAAAAAAAAGAATATGGGCTTGATATAGCAGAAAGACTGAAGTGAAAATCCCAGGTCTACCTCTAACTAGCTATGTACTTTGGGAAGTGTCAAGCTCTCAGCCCACTTCTCATGTGTGATATGGAAATGGCAGCAATACCTTCTTGTAGTGCTGTCAGAAGACTTAATGAAAGCATAAACACATAGTTCTTAGAACAGTACCTAGGACTCAATAAATGGTAACTATTATTTATTTATTTTCTAAATATTTTATTTATTTGACAGATAGAGATCACAAGTAGGCAGAGAGGCAGGCAGAGAGAGAGGAGGGGAAGCAGGCTCCCTGCTGAGCAGAGAGCCCGATGTGGGGCTCGATCCCAGGACCCTGGGATCATAACCTGAGCCGAAGGCAGAGGCTTTAAGCCACTGAGCTACCTAGGCGCCTGGTAACTATTATTTAAAATAGGTATTTAACAAACATACAAATGTTAAGGACAGACTGGAAGCAAAATACCAAATAAAGTAACCACAGCTAAGAGTGCTAATTAATGGACTAACTAAAACTGAGAGGAAAAATCTCTGTTAGCAAAGTATAGGGTTCTCCATTATTGGTTAACACATTTTAAGTGGTTTAGATAAGGACCTAGAAGGTTAAGTATTTAATTTACATGAAGAAGCCATCAAACATAAAGATTCAGGAACATTATATGAGTTGAAATTCCTACACTTAAGTTTAAATAACTTAATTATATATGAAAAAGATGGGGGGGAATGGCTGGGTGGCTCAGTCGTTAAGCATCTGCCTTTGGGGAGCCTTGTGACGGGGCTCCCTGCTCAGCAGGAAGCCTGCTTCTCCCTCTCGCAATCCCACTCCCCCTGCTTGTGTTCCCTCTCTCTAGTCAAATAAATAATAAAATCTTAAAAAAAAAAAAAAAAGTGATGGGTGCCTGGGTGGCTCAGCGGGTTAAGCCTCTGCCTTCAGCTCAGGTGGTGGTCTCAGGGTCTTGAGATCAAGCCCCACATCAGGCTCTCTGCTCAGTGGGGGGCCTGCTTCCCTCTCTCTCTGCCTGCCTGCCTCTCTGCCTAGTTGTGATCTCTCTCTCTGTCAAATAAATAAATAAAATCTTTAAAGAAAAAAAAATGAGAAAAGCTTGACAGAAAAGCAATACTTATAAAAAAGTAATTCAGATTTTTGTTAAGTATAATCTATGTAAAAGAGACACTGTGACGTGGCTGCTAAAAAATGTATGCAATCTTGGGCAGTGTTGGTAGAAAGATAATGGGAGAATTTTAAAAAGAGAGCCATTTAAGGAGACATTGGCTCAACAAAGTTTGGATTCTAGTATTCAAGTGTAGAAGACATATTTATACACTGACATAAACCTAGGAAAAAATAATCAGGATGGTAAAAATGTCTACAAGTAAGACCAAATGAAAAAACAACTGAAGACTAGAGAATGTAAGATTTCAGGTGAACCATCCAAATGTTTGAAAGGTTGTCTTATTTAGAGGAAAAGGAACAAATATTTGTCAAATGCCTTCTTTATGCCAAGTGTTTTCCAAGTTATTATTTAACTTTCATTAAATTACACAGAATCCTGGGAAGTAGTGTTATTATTTTGAATTTAGTAATAAAACAGAAGAACAAATAAACACTGTACTACTATAAAAAATAGGATGAAAATCAGTATGTGGAAAAAATAATGTAACTGCCTATCAATAACAAAAGGATAAATTCTGGGATATTTATAGAATAAACTATTAGAGAGCAAAGAGAATAAAATGAACTACAACTATATACAAAAACATAGAGGAATCCTGCAAACATAAGGTAAAGCCAAAAAAAAAAAAAACAGATTCAAGAGTTCATACTATACAATTTCATTTATATAAAATTCAAAACAAAACTGGTTCATGCAGAAAAATGTCAAGGCAGTGTCTGGAGGTGGAAAATGGTGAGGGGAAGGCAGCTGGGATAAAAAAGAAACACAGGTGAGACCTGTAAGTTACTTTGTGAAATTTTCCTTTTGTGATAAAAGGACTCTCAAAATTCTTTCAACAATGAATTACAACTAAAATTCCATGTCACACTTGCCAATACAAGTGAGAACTTTTTAGTCTCTATACCAATCATTAATAAACATTATATAACATTAAATGAGGATTATCTGACCCTACTTGAGGCAGTAAGCTACCACCAAAATTTCTAACCTTCTTATAATATGAACACAAAAAATATACAGTTCAAATTAACTATTCATAAGCTTTATTTATCCAGCTACTTTCTTTAAATGTTACTTTGTAACCTGGGTCAAGTAACAAACTCTTGAGCTTTCTCTGACTTTAAGTATATTTAGTCATTTCTTTCCCTCTTCTGAGAGATAACCAGAATCCCAAATAATCAAATATTTAGTCATTCACCTACTGTTACTACTTCCATTCCTATTAATCCCCAGATACCAGACAAAGCCAGGCCAAACTCACTGACTAGCTACAGCTTTGGCCCAAACTCCCATGTGGCCTACTACTCCAGTTTTCCATTCTGAAATACTCCGGCCATCTAACTTAACATCTAGCAACTAAACTTACAAAGTAGGCCAGATAATCTCCTTGGTCTCTTCCCCCCAGGCACACACCCTGATCTAGAACTATAGAGTTTGCCAATCTAATGGTGAGACAATATAAGAAATGTAAACTCTAGTTTAAAAAAAGTAATTCTTAAAAGTCAAATGTGCCCACATTGACCATTCCATTCTAGGTCCTCCACTAAAGCTACCCTGATTTCTTCTAGGCCATTGTTATTCTACCAAGTCATGCAGAAAGACAGAAAACAGCATGAAGCTACTCATCATAAGGATTAATAACAAAGCACAGGAATCAATAACTTCAATTCCTACCCCATCTCTGATAGCTACTTGATATTGTACAAGTAATCAAGTATCTCCAGGACTTAGCTTCCTCTCATCAAAGCCCTCATAAAATTATGAGGATTACATGAAAAATTGTCTAAGAACAAAGCATAGTGTCTGGTATACTCTACTGCTCAATAATTAGTTCTTATATCATAGAAATAATAATCTAAAGAAAAAGGGAACCAGAGAGAAATTCCAGAAGTCCAAGAGTGAGTTCTAGAGTTCTTTCACCCTTGTATCATGATTTGCTCATCCTCAAGAGTCAAATTTGTCCTTAATTCAAAAATGTGTATAGTTAAATGTATAAAACAAGAATACTAGCCTAAATCATTAGTTTTCGTTTTATTTAAAAATAGTTCCTAAACTCTTTTTTTTTCTAAAGAAAATCTTATGATGGAAAACTAAAGATCAAACTGAAGCAAGTCTGGGAGTTGAAAGTTTACATGGTTAGTTTCCCACTTGCTCCCCAAGGTCTTCCTTGAAGTCTGAATCTCCTGAAAGATCACTTCCAAATCAAAAATTATTCTAAAATATTAAATATTAAAATATCATTCTTCTTCCTTTCTCAGGTAACTTTAAAAATGAGATTTACTTACTCACTATTCTCTAATATAACATTAAGGAAACAGAACACCTTTTTTTTTTTTTTTGAAACAGAGGACTTAAAAAAAAAAAAGTAATGATGCTTACCAACTATACATAAACAGATTTCATTTCCCAACATTTTCCGTAATTCTTTGACCCAGTTTTTTACCTGTGTATACAAAAGAGTAAATATCAAATCCTGTTGCAACAACTATCATTACAACTTCCCAAACTCCACATTGTCAAAATACCTCAGAATTTGTCTAACAGCCCAGATACTTAGTTACCTGTAGGATCAGTTACTGACAAACTGTACTGACAAACATACAAACATCTAATGGAACGATTTCTCTATCTACATAGCAGTATAGACAGAAACACCTCTAATTATAAATTTTCATAAATCTTCCACAGATCTAAATAAAATTATTAACTAGAGCAAAACTCCAGCCTCAGATAACAGATGCTTGTAGAGTCACTTTGGACTTAAGAACATCTTAAAATTAAAAGTCTTTTGTATTCCAATTGGTTCCAAATTAGAGGGCACAGAAGCTTCTGTGTCACACCCTTAAAGGGGGGGTGGAAATGTATATGGGCACTAAAAAGAGTACCAAAATAAATTTTCATCCTTTAGTGTCTAACAGGTTTTTTCAACTTCAGCCCTACTGGTATTTTGGCCCAGATTAACGCTGCTGGGAGGGACTGCCCTGTGTAATGTATGCTATTGAGCAGCATCCCCAGCCTCCTACCCACTAGGTATCAGTACCACCCACCAGCTGTGATAACCAAAGATGTCTCCGAATACTGCTCCCTCCTGGTGGAGAACCACTGGTATACAATGACTCCAGTAACAAACAGATTCTTCACTATGAAGCATAGCAGTAGGCACAGTTGAGTACATTCAAATTAAGTAAACTAATCATTTGAACTCCTGATTTTAAATATGCTGATTATAATAAAATAGGTTAAGAACAAACTTGAATACCTCCTTCATTTTTTTGTAATGGAATTTAATTTCCATGTAATCAAGTCACAGAGAATCTACATATATTCCTAAAAAAATGCACACACATCTTTAAATTATAAAAATTACATTAAATAGGTGGTAAGTAAGCACTTACTGTACATCTGGTCCTACAGTACAAATGTAACCGTTCCACATTCCTGTTCTTTGCAGGAATGCAGAGAAACTGTCTTTAATAAACCCCAAAGCTTTATATAAGGAAAGTAATCAATATCACCACCTTATCTTTCTCAGAGCTTCAACTGAACCATAGTTTTCTCAGTACAGCCCCATCTTTTTGTTTCATTCACATGTATGTAGAAAGTTTTTAGAGAAGCACTGAACTTCCATCCCTAGTTGATGTCACATAAGAAAAATATGACAACTTGGTATAAAACGTACATCCTCATCATTTCAAAGGAAACATGCCAGAATCCAATTACATATTACTGTACTCTCTGTATAGATAGTATCATAACCTACCAAATCTAACCAACTTTTTAAAAAAATGTTATTCATCTGCAAATAGATCCCCTTCTGCAGGCATCCTACTCATTACCCCCATACATTCTGTGATGAGTTAGAGATGGTTACAGATTTTTTACCAATCCTCTCAACAAGAGTTAGTTGGGGGGGGGGCGGGGGTTGTCCCCTGCTCGCAGGGAGCCTGCCTCTCTCTCTCCCGCTTCCCCTGCTGTGCTCTCTACCTCTCTCTCAAATCAATCATTAAATCTTAAAAAAAAAAAAAGAGAGAGAGAGAGAGAGAGTCTATTTCCCTTCCCTCTGAAGCTGGGCTAGCCTTGCAACTTGCTCTGACCAAGAGAATGTGGCAGAAGTAATGCTATGCCAGTTCCAGACTTAAGCCTTAAGAAGGCCTGGAAGGTACTCTTAGGATCCAGTAGTCATGTAAACAGCTTAGGCTAGAATATGGAATAATGAGGGAGCATGTGGAGAGAGCACCAGACGATGAGACACCAAATGGAGTGAGAGGCCACAAGGAGGAGAACAGGCTTTCCTAGATGGTCCTGGCCTCGCCAAACTTGAAGTTCAATGCAGTTGCATGAGTGACTCCCATGAAACCACATAACCTGCCCAGTCAACCCACAAAACCATGAGAAATAATGCATTGTTTTAGGCCACCAAGTTTTGGGGGTTTGTTACACAGCAAGAGAGAAATGGTCACTTTTCAACCTAAAAGACTCAACCTTCTCTTAATCAATAAAACACTCAGACCATTTCCATCTATGTCAAAAGGCAGGAAGAAACAACAAACAGCAGCCCCCAAATAAATTTTGCAAGTATCATTAAACCTACAAGTTACTTCATCATTCCCTTTTTCTACTCCTTGGACTAAATTTTTTCACATGTAATAATAACCCGAGGACTAACTTGCATAGTTGCTTCATCAGTTGAATACTGAAAAACAAATGGGAAAAAAAAAAAAAAGACAACAAACCTAAAACTAAAACTAAAAAAGCAAGCAATTTCTATAGAAACAAACCTGTAATTTCAATGCAAGTAAAGTTTCTGCTACAGAAATACCCTTTTTAGTTACATACCCCTGGGCTTTCAGAGGAAGGGTGAAATAAGTAATTAATCACCATCCTGACTGTGATGAGAATTCAAAGGTAAGTTTAATGGTAACTTAGTTTGGTTCTGAACAACTTCAAAAATTCTACATTTGTTAAAAAAAAAAAAAAATTCTACATTTGTGGTGGATATTTAAAAGAGGCGTGAAAGGCGCCTGGGTGGCTCAGTCTGCTTAGGCTCAGGTCATGATCCAGGGGTCCTGGGATGGAGCCCTGCTTCAGGCTCTGTGCTCAGCAGCAAGTTGCTTCTCATTCTGTACCCCGACCCTGCTCATGCTCTAATAAATAAAATCTTAAAAAAAAAATAAAAGAGGGGTAAAAAATAATGAAGAAGGTTTAAAATAAATACTGATTAGACTGTCATTTAAAACTTATATTATATCCTTCAGGACATTTAGTGAGAACAAAGAGCTTAAACATGATTTAGTTCTTCTTTTCCCTCTTTACAACTGGGGAGTCCATGCAGCCATACGAAGTATTCACATGCCTAGTGTATATGGAATCATGAAATACATGTGATTTTTCTTTATACGGAGAAAAAAAGCCCCTTGATTTTTATAAACTGTTATTTCAAAGTATTTCCCTTTCCTAATATCTGAGAAAACCATGTAATAAACTTATTAATAACTTATTCAAAATATAAACATGAATTAAATACTGCATTAACAAATATGAGTGGTAACCATTTATGCATAACTTTATTTTACTTTTAAAACCAAGGCTAGTCACATTAGTAAACAAAAGCATGTGAATGGAGACTTGAAAAATTAGTGTTGTTATTCTATTTAAGTCATCTACCCATAAGTAAACAGAATACCTTCTGAAAGGAATCTTCATCTGTTATATCATAAACTAAAATAGCTCCATTTGAATCTCTGTAGTAAATTGGACCCAATGCATGGAATCTCTCTTGACCTGCTGTATCCTAAATAAAGCAACAAACACTTATTAGGTCATAAGAAAAAAATACATCTGCTATTTCAACTACAATAAACTTTTGATTAACTGGAAAGTGGGACATGAAATTACAGATAAACTCAAAACACTGTTAAAAGAAAAAAAACAAGTTACAAAAAAATTTTTAGAAGTTACAAACAATATTTAATGTTTTACTGTTATATGAAAGTTACTTCCCTCCCAAGCAAAATTCCCACCGCCACTAAACGAAAAAGTTTAATTGCCAGAGGATCAGAATGCTCACGATGGCATTATAAGCCAGGAATAGGCCTTGCCCTAAATTTAGGTTCTGCATAGAGGGAAAAGACAAGGAAAGAGAGCATACACCAGAACAATTGGCCAAAAGGTCCTCTGATGTACTAACCTTGCCCTACTCTGTACTAGCTATTCCCCTGGAAAGTGGGAACATGGAAACACAGAGGGGAAAAATGCCAGTCAGGCTGTCCACCCACCCTGTTCTTTGTCTGACATGGAATCCCTCTGAGTTTACCCTTCTTCCAGCTCAACGGTTATGGATAAGCAATATTCATGTATGCAACTGTGTAATTCTTAGCCTGATTTTAGAAAAAAATGTTTATTTAAAAACAGTTTTGGGGGTGCCTGGGTGGCTCAGTGGGTTAAAGCCTCTGCCTTCGGCTCGGGTCATGATTCCAGGGTCCTGGGATCGAGCCCCACATCGGGCTCTCTGCTCAGCAAGGAGCCTGCTTCCTCCTCTCCCTCTCTTTGCCTTCCTCTCTGCCTACTTGTGATCTGTTTGTCAAATAAATAAATAAATAAATAAAATCCTTAAAAAAAAAAAAAAAAGTTTTAGCTAAACTTAAAAAAAAAAATCCAGAAATACGAATTCCTATTCCTTGAGCCCATTAGTTATTAGAGTACAAAGAACAGAAGAAGCCTTCACTCACTCAACTGAAAAGGTTAACTTACCCATATAGCAAGGTTTACTCTTTTCCCACCAATATTTAACTTCTTCGTTAAGAAGGATGCCTAAGAAAAGAGATACACATTAAACAATATTTCATATAATATAATGTTTCTTATTCTAAGAACTATAGATGAAAGAATAATCTCAATATGAAACTCAAGTTATCTGGGAGAAAAAGTAATCACTGAGTTCTTATTAATGACCAAACATTCACTGAAGACAGAACATTATTTATATTCTAATCTAAAAAAATGGTATTTTGCTTTATGAACACAAGTTATGAAAAACAGGAAGAAAAACATGGCCCCTGGCTGGCTCAGTTGACAGAGCATATGACTTTTGATCTTAGGGCCATGAGTTTGAGCCCCCTGTTGGGCATGGAGACAACTTAAAATAGAAACAAATAAAAAGATTTTTAAAAAAATTATAATTAAGTATTTTCTTAGATTTTCCCCATAAAAAATTTTCTTAGAGCATTTAATTTGATGTCACCCTACACACTCATTATAGAAAGAGCTAAGAGATTTCTAAATGAGAGAAAAGATATATTTACTGGTAGTTTACTTAATGGTATGAATACCAGTATTATTTGAAATATTCCTCTAATTATTTTATAACTCAATTATTTAACTTATATCTAATAATTATCCCAGGCACCAATGTTACAGAAATGAAAGGAAATGGTTCTAGCCTTCAGGGAGTTTATAGTCTATAGTAGAAATAAACATGTAAATAAAAGTACAATATCATGTAACAATTGTTAAAATGGGAGGGTCTTGCCAAGTATACTCTAAAGAGAGTGCTAAGAAAGGAAGTGTAAAGCCGTCCTGGATGAGTCAAAAAAAGTTTCAAAAAGAAGGTGATAATCTCCCCTTTAGGAGTAATAGGGGCTTTTCCAACAGATGGGAGAAGCCACTGAAGCCTCAAACATGTAACTCCCTCTCCATGGAGAACTCCCAACAAGTTAGTAAGGTCAATGCCGGAGATGAGACTACAAAGATAGGCAAATGCTATTCAAATCAAAAAAGTACTAGGGTTCCATGTCTAGATGTATGGACTTTACTTTCAGTGTTTTAATAAAACTTGTTCCAAGACACATGTATTTTTTTAAATGTATAAACGTATATACTACAGTCAGATTTGGGAAATGCAGCATATTCCTCTGTATTCCCTTTGTACATTCATAATACACAACACAGTAAGATTCTGCCAAAAGAAAAGCTAACTGCATCTATACAACTATTTCCTAAACTTATTTGACCTATTTTTTACTAGAAAAATGCCTAATTCATCCTAAGGAATAAGTGTTAAGAAGAATAATACTGTTGGGGCGCCTGGGTGCTTCAGTTGTTAAGCATCTGCTTCAGCTCAGGTCATGATCCCAGGTTCCTGGGATACAGCCCGTATCAGGATCCCTGCTCAATGGGAAGCCTGCTTCTCCCTCTCCCCCTTCCTAGGCTTGTGTTGCCTCTCTCGCTGTGTCTCTCTCTGTCAAATAAACAAATCTTTAAAAAAATAAAAAGAAGAAGAATAAGAAGAATACTGTTAATGATGGAGAATCACTGAAGGTTTTTAAAGCAGTGGGGAAGTATAAGATCTAAATTTTAAGAGAATGACTCTGGGATAGGAAGGGAGGTTAGACAGGAAAGGACAGGACTAGACCTGGAGACAGAAGGCCATTACAAAGTTGGAGGGAAAAACAAAAAGGACCTGAACCAAGGCCACAAACATAGGAAAAAAAAAAAGAGAATCCAGAGTAACTGAAAATGAAATACAATCAGAATCCAGAGTCAGCTGACATAGTTAAAAAAAGGAATAAAGAGCCAAGTCCAAAGCTATGCAGAGACAGTCACAGTTAGGTGTATCTATATAAAAGAAAATACAGAGAAGTACAGTAAAACAGATAAAAAGCTAGAATGGTGAATTATTACTGAAGGAGAAGGAGTCTAGATCTCAGGAAAGACTTTCTGCTGTATAAACACAAGGAAATTTAGAATTAAGAAAAAGCCAATGAATTTAGTACTTAACTAAGTGGCAGAGCTGAGATCAAATCCAGGAATGCTTTCCTTCAGAACCCAAACAACACTAAAGATATTTTATTAAATGAAACAGATTACACAGAAAAGGGTATAAAATAAGTAACAAAATAAAAATAAAATAAATAACAAAAAAATAAAAAAGCATAATAATAAAAGAAAACTTGGAAAATGAGAAGACCAAATACATGTTTTGACAATAAATGTGAACAAAGGACTTCTCCCACTCATTATAGCACAGAAGCTAAGAAAAGGAACTTTGAGGGGTGCCTGGGTGGCTCACTCTGTTGGGCATCCGACTCCTGATTTCAGCTCAGGTCATGATCTCAGGGTTGTGAAGAGGCTTTGAACTCCACACTAGGCGTGGAGACTGCTTAAAACTCTTTCTCTCTTGGGGCACCTGGGTGGATCAGTTGTTAAGCCTCTGCCTTCAGCTCAGCTCATGATCCCAGGGTCTTGGGATCAAGCCTCGCATTGGGCTCCCAGTTTGGTGGGAAAGCTGCTTCTCCCTCTCCCACTCCCCCTGCTTGTGTTCCCTCTGTCACTATGTCTCAAATAAATAAATAAACTTAAAAAAAAAAAAAAGAATATGAACTTTGAACCAGAACTTTGGATTTGAATCTCAGCTTTGCTACTTATTAGTTGTATAACCTACTTGAACTCAACCATTTTCATGGTTTCAATATCAATGCTATATAAAGAAACTCAAAATCTGCGTCCTATCCAAATATTTAATAGGTAGGTCAACTTAGGTGCCTCTTTTCTCTCAAATATATTTAAAATTAAACTGATCTTCCTTCCAAAATTGGCCTTCCATTCCAACTTTAGTATTTTGATAACATTCTCCAAGTCACCGAGGTTTAGAATCTTACAAATATCATCATTGAATATTCTTCCTCCCCTGACATTCCACATTCCAAAAAAAACCCTACCAAGGTTTGTCTTCACACTTCCTCTGGAGTTCTTGGATGATCAATCTCATATTATTATACCACCTTTGCTCTGACCTCACACTCTAGTCAACATGCCAAATTATCTTTCTAAAGCCTCCATGATTAAGGAAAAAAAAAATCTTACCATAACTCACTGACAGATTCCAATAAGGTATCATTTTTAACAAGAGTGCCTGAATTACATCTCTGCTGGTAGCTAATATCTAAATAATCTTTTTGTCATGAGATTTGTGGGGAGTTCTCAGTAGAGAGGAATGAACTAGAGCTGATAAAGCTCCATCATATCCTTTTTTACCATCACCTTGGAAACTTACCACCACCTTCCTGTTTGAGTTTAAGAAACAGTGTTAAGTCTCCCCTATGCAACCACAGATACACAATCTTACAGAAAGACACTCATCAGTGTTGATTATAAAGAAAAAAGAAATAACCTAAGTGTCCCTCAATAGGCAACCTTGAAAAGGTACACAAATATAGCCCATTCATATAATGAAACTCTCTACTTTGATTTCAACTACTGTTACTATACTAGCTAACAGTTACTGAATGCTTACCTTCCATCAAGTACCACGCTGAGCACTTTTTATATCATTCACAAGCTTCTCCTTTATAAAAGTTAAGGAACCCTCATCTACAAGCAAAAATCTCTAAATGCTATCTTTTTATTTAAGGACCTAAACAATTGTCCACAACTATCTTCGTATGATAGCTTCCAGAATCTCTCCACTTACTCTCCAACTTATATGGTTTATACACATACCTCCAATTCTGCTTGTTCATAAAATTTCCCTCTAATTTGGATGTATTCTCTTTTCTCTATTTGAACCCCATCTATCCAAGTTCAGTTCATGACCCATACTCTTCCTCCTTGAATTTTTAAAGCTTTCTCGTACCACCCATACAACCCACACTGACTTGCTCTATCCTGAAGAATTACAGGGAACCTAATCTTTAACAAACAGCATATACTGCCTTGCTTCTATCCTAAGTTTTCTTTTCATGAATGTAAGTCTTCTGTCAAGTAGATTACATATTTTTATTTAACATGTTCACCATGCTTACAATGAAATGGGCAGTATTCTAAAAGCTTTCCAATATTAACTCATTCAATTGTCACAGTACACTAAGAAACAACTGTCCAAATATTAAAGATGTGCAAACCTAGACACAGGAAGGGTATCTTGCCTATGGTCACATAGTAAGTGACACAGTGGGATCTGAAATCCAAGCAATCTGGCTCCAGACAAGACTCATAACTACTATGCTATGCTATCTTCCACACTGAGATCTGAAATAATACTTTTCTCATGGAAAAAGCAGGAGGAGCCAGTGCTGACACATAAATATTGTTACTGTAGATATAGGTATCTACAATGTGCCTGGGTTAATCCATGCAGGTAAAACTCAATTTATGTAAGAGATGTACTAAAAGTTTCCTTATAAACCAAATTATTTTAATTCAAATATTTGATATATTATCCAAGGATCCCTGCTAAATCTTTTTTTTCTCCTTCATAATGAAATACTTAAGTCCCGTGATATGGAAAGATTCCTAGTGTAATATAAACTGTCCCATTTTATATATATTTTCTATGTCTTTAATATGTTACAGGTATTTTCTTAAAGAACAAATATGTTTTGGGGCACCTGGGTGGCTCACTGGGTTAAGCCTTTGCCTTCAGCTCAGGTCATGATCTCAGGGTCCTGGGATCAAGCCCCACATCAGGCTCTCTGCTCAGCAGGGAGCCTGCTTCCCACTGCCCCCTCGCCTGCTTGTGATCTGTCAAATAAAATCTTAAAAAAAAGGAACAAATATGTCTTAAAAACAAATACAATTATATGTAAGAATAAAGCTGAAAGATTTTATGTAAAATCAAAATAGGAGTAAACGACCAAAAGGCTGGCATTCATCTTATCTTTTTTAACCACCTCTATGAGGCATACTTAATTTGGATAGACTACCAAGATATCACTTGTAGTTACACTTAACCTGGGACAGGGGCTCTTAATTTGTTATGTGAGAGTGAGAAGGAGAGCACTGACTTCTTTTGAGAATCTAATGAGAGCCATGAA